TTGATAAGGTCCCCTCTCAGTCTTCTCCAGGCTAAAGAACCCCAGGTCTCTCAGCCTTTTCTCATACGAGAGATGCTCCAGTCCCCTCATCATCTTCGCAGCCCTCTGCTAGACTCTCTCCAGTAGTTCCCTGTCTCTCTTGAACTGGGGGGCCTAAAACTGGACACAGCACTCTAGGTGTGGCATCACCAGGGCAGAGTAGAGGGGGGGGAGAACCTCTCTCAACCTACTGACCACAGCCCTTCTAATACACCCCAGGATGCCAAATGGGCAGTGTAACAGAAGTGTTTTGAATACCGAAATGTATAAATCCATTTGCTCAGTGGTGGATTTGCTTGAAATATATTTAATGGAATAAAAACCTCTGCATAGAAATTGACTTTTAATGAAGTTTTTTCTCTTTCATTCAAGGCCAACTACTTTTCTAAATTTTCAAAAGCTCCAGTAATATGCAAATTAGTTGGAAGAAAAGTTCTTGATGGAGTTGGCCAGCCAACATTAGAAGTGGAAATCCACTGTACAGTTAAAAATTATGAGAAGGTATGAGCTGCTTCTTCCTGGTTTATTTAATAAGGCAATATGAGGGAGAGCTGCTATTCTACTCACACCTTAAGGAACATTTAATTTTCCACCTTTAATGGAAGGATATGAGTCCCTGTGACTCAACAGTGAGTGTTGTAACTTAGTAAAGAAACTGTCATGAAAAGTTAGACAGTGGCAGCAACTATAAAACCTTTGTGTTCCATTTTCCGTGAATTCGACAGTATTTATTTTATGAGTGGGAAGTGACAGTGCATCTCTGTATATTAAATTATTGTCTGTCTTAATGATCATGTAGCTTTTCCTTACACCCCATATCTAGTCCTGCAAGGTCATTTTCCTTTTACATTTTTCTTTTTTTTTTTTTTTTTTTGATTTTCAGATCCTTCTATTTCTATTTGTATGACAGTGTTTCAGAAAAATATAGTACAGCTGAAAACCACAGTGTAGGTGAAGGCAGTTTTTTACACTGAGCTAATAGGCTGTTGTGGGTGGCAGTTAAATCAAACATATCCATCTCGCACTTGCAATGCAAAATTGACGGTGCATTGCCATCTCTTCCCAACCTGAAACAGTCAAGATACTGACTTTGCAACTTTAGCTGTTGTGGAGGAATTTTTTCTGCTTTCCGTCAGTTAGACTATGGTTCACTTCATTCCTGAATTAAATGTAATTTCACAGGTCTTCACATTATGAAAATTTAATACCAGTAATGCAGGAAACTCTGTGATACTTGCAAATGACGTCTTTATTAAGTGATTTTTCTTAAGTATCATTTATTCTTCAGCAGTACAGAAAGATAAGTTTAAATTACCTAAATAAGACAAAATGTAACTGATCGTGAGGGATGGCATTAAGCATGAATGCTGATAAATCGTGGTACAACAGGCGGCCCCTGCCATGAAAGATGTCCTAATGACTGAATGGTCTTTGAAATAACTCCATTCTATTCTGATAACAAAGTATATGTGTAAAGCAGATCTGTCAGGAGGTTTTTGCCTCAGTGGTTATAATTTAGGTCAAGAAACTTGAATGACGTCTGTGATTGCCAAAGTACGAGAGACTAGAAGGAAGGTGCTGGATGGAAAAAGTAAGTGGAGCAAACAGTAGATTTGGAGGTAGGTACCTGTAGAGTTGTAAGGACATACACTTCTTAGTCTTTCAAATGACATTTCCGAGTTAGAAATTAAAGAGTGTTTTAAGCCTTCTTACATATTTTGCAGAGGATTTGTTCCACTGTAATGTGTTTTCATTCTCAAATACCTGAAAATGCTTTACCTGAAACAAGTGCAGCTGATGAGAAAGACAGAAATGACTCTGTGAACACTGCTGTGGAATGGGTCAATGCGTCACTGAACACAATGTTAAGAGACTTAAAGCCTACTGACCAGTGCACAGTTGATAAGATACTTGGGTATGTTTTGCATATTATGCAAATTATTGCATTTGAAATATACACCATTAATTTATATTTTAAATTAAAAATGTATAGAATATTCAGTGCTTTCTTCTATTACTTTTTATATATTTTTAGGATGTGATGTCTGTTTCAGATACGTTGCACTATATTATTTCCTGCTTTTTTTATGATTATTATACGAAAGTCATGCTGGTTTTTACAAGGTTTCATACATGAGATACAAAAATAAGAGTCTCTGAGAAAAAAATGCCTGAGCATGTTCATGAGTCAAAGGCTTCATTTAAGAAACTCATTCAGTGCCAGTTTGATACGGTTGGTGTTTTGGTTCAGACTGTGACTCCACTTCTGTTCCTGGCACTGCAGAACAGAAGCGGTAGGAAAGGCCTGTGTGTGTCTTCTGCACTGAGCCAATCCACAGCAAACGTGTCTGTTCGTACAGTTCTCAGGTTCTGGTGGGGTCTTATTTCTGAGCAAGCCACTCCAGAAGGCTTCTTACTTTGAGCAATGAGTTTCTTTGGAAGCATAGTTTCTTTAGTAAACATCCATGTTTGTTTTTTCATACAAATATTTCCTCTTGGGAGCATCTCAAAGTAAAAAAGAGTGGCCGTATTTTTCCATTCAAAGAAACATGGCAGGCTTTTATAAGAAAAAAAAAAAGACGTAAGGTAAAGTATCACAGATGTAGCTGAAAGGATTTTTACAGGAACGTCAGAGGAGCTACCAGGCAGCGTGATGGCTTTCTTCACCCTGGCAGCAGTGATATGGCCTGTCCTGCTCTTCTGCAGCTGGAGGTGTTTCAGCTCCATCCCGGAGGGGAATGGTGCTTCGCTGTCGGGGTAGCGGCTGGGCTGCCGCACTTAGCACAGACTGACTAGCAAACAGGCCTAATTGCTTTCCACACGGATTAGCTTTGGGGAAACCTTGATGAAGGGAGTAAAGACTCAATTGGAAAGAAATTCTTCCAACTGAAGTGAGACTAAAGAAGATTTTAATGCCTTGTTTACACCACTTCCTATATCTTACATACTCAGTTTGCCTGAATCGGGTGACTGTGCAGTTTCTACTTTGTGCATGGAATTGAAATTCAGCCACTTCTGAGCTTGCAGCCGCTTAGGTAACCAGGGTACAACTGACCTATCGGATTAGCAGCCTCGGCCAAGCTGTTGTATGTCAGGAAGGTATGATGGGATCCATTCCTGCCCATGCAAAGCAAATACATCCTTCACGCTGAGACTGGCGGCACAGAGCTGACTTTCTAACCCGTGTGATTTGAAAAGCATGTGTTAAAGTTTATAATATTTGCTTGTGGTTCCTTGGGTTTAATCAATGCTGCAGATGACTACTGAAAAATGATGATGTCATTTATTGACTTCTCCAGCTTCACACAATGATTCTATGGCAGAAGCTCAAATAGATGCCCTTAATCTACCTCTTAGCATGTTCTTTAGCCTGTATCCTGTGTCTGCTCGTCACATGTCTAACAATATTTTGAGCCAGTAATCTTTATGCCTCTTCCCTCAGTGAATACTTTACAAAAAAGGTAGAAGAACAAAAAATTCAAAAGCAAGAAGAAGAAGCAGCAGAAGCCACTCTTGCCATTACTTCATGCATTCCAGCAGCAGCAGCACTACCTGGGGGGAAAAAGGCAGCAAAACCAGGTTTTAGTTTATTTGATTCTAGTAATTTCTGCAATACAGATGTTGATATAAGTGCTAAAATACTTTCTGAAGTATCTTGCGGACACAGAATGCTTGGGAACACATGACAGCGTCTGGTTCAAAGGGTTTGGTTACTCTACCTGAATCTTTCTGATCACAGCAGTTTCTACTGCAGAAATGAGAGAGGGGAAAATACAGCATTTTCTCATCATTCCCATGCATTGGTTGAACAGAATTTCTGCCTTTGTTTTACAGTTGGCTTAGACAGGAGGTTATTACTCTTCAGAGTGAGGAATAAGACTGGAGGAGGATGCAAATGAATAAAAATGACAATGATAAGCAAAGAAAAGGGAATCACAGAACTGAGCAGGAAAATGGAAATAGAATTAAGATAGAAGTTGAAAAGAATGGAAAGAGGGAGGAAAGGAAGTTTCTTGCTGAGAAATGGAGGAAATAAGGTGAAAAGCAAAAAAAGAAGGAAGGGGGTGACATGGGAATGATGGGCAGTACAGAGTAAAAAGGAAGAGAACAAACAATCGTGCTAAAGATGGGATATATACTTTACCCTCAGACAAAAAAAAAAAAAAAAAAGGTTAGTTATCATTTATTGGATGGGCAGAAAATTTTGGCAAAATATTATTTCTTGTCAGTTTAGTTTCAATTGTCATATACTATCAGTAAAACCTCCCAATTAATATGATAGGTGTGTGCGCGGTAAAGGCACCTTTGACCTGAAATGTAATCTCTGCAGTTGTCGGGTACATCATCATGTTGTCTATTATACTGTTAGTCAAGCTTCTGCTGGTACAGACATTACTTGTTTTCACTAATTGTTTTTTCCTCATACTTAATTGTGACGTTGACTGTAATGTTATTGTGAGAATCAATACCTCACTGTCAGGAGCCGATGATTATAAAGCTACTAGTTGTTGCAGGAGGCCACTAACAGATGGTGACTCCCAGTAGCAGGTGCTCTCGGAGGTAGCGTCTGTGTTGTAATTTATGCAGGTTGCAAAGTAGTGTCGTGGCCAGGATCCCTGCAAAGCACTGCAGTTCGTCAGAGTTGCTCAGCGCTTGATTACCAGTGTCTGTGTGCGTAGCTTTCATCCTCGACTAAGAGGTACAGAATGTGTGTAGTATGCCAATTCTGTATAATTAATCTGCTTATACAATTAGGTCCTATAAGAGCATTTTACCATAAAATATCAGTTGTACCTTGTAGTATTTATAGCTTCTGGAAATCAAAACTTGCACGGCACTGCTATTAGGAAGTGAAGTAGTTGGTCGGAGTTACACAAAAGTTCACAATGTGTGTGATTCTTGAGAATCAGACCCCTCCTTTCGGGTTTACGTAGGTGCTTACTGCACTTGTTCATGTAAGCACTGTGGGCAGGAAATACGATAGCGGGAACTGCTGAGTTTCAAGCATTTTGGCAAAAATTACTGTATCTGAAAGGGAGATAAGTTGCTTTGAAAATTTAACAAGACTGGGCATGGGGAATGTTTAAAAGACCTGTTTTCTCATTGGAAAATCCAACTGTAATAGGCCTAAATTTTTTTCACAATCATTATTAGAGGAAATCAGGTATGTGTGCTCCCAGTGTAATCTTCCAAGCTGTTTATGCAAAAGCTGAGTATATAAGGAGGATGATAAAGAATACTGAAATCATGCTTATGAAAGGAGCCTGAAAAATTGCATAACATTACTGGATGTAAACATAGATAAATAAAAACACAGATTTCAGTGGCTGAAAGATCTCCAGTATGAAATACATTTGAAACTGGAGTGACAACAGATACTTTGCTTACTTGTAAGGTCATTTCATGTAAAATGACTGACAAGATTAAGTTAAAAAAAAAAAGAACTGCTTTTTTTGTAATGCATTGAGTACATACTGAAATGACATTGTCATATTTACTCATACAACTGTGATACATAAGCACATGTTTTAAACCAAGAAAATACTTAGCTGCTACTCTCTGTCTTGTAGGAAAGAAGGTGGCAGCTGCAGAGAGAACAATCCCACCTGCGGAGCCTGTTGGATCTGTGCTTGGTGGCAGCTTAGCCATTGGGGGAACATCACTTGCCATAGCTAAGGCTGGTGCCACCATTAGCCATATCCCGTTGTACTTACATATTGCACTGCTGAAACATCATCAGGTACATGTAGTTTTGGTAATTTTGTGTCTTTTATCCCAGTTATCACAATTATTCTAAAATTATGAAGCCAGTAGTCCCTTGTGACAGTGGTATTAAATACACCTCATAGAATGCACCCTGAAGATAATTGCCTGTAGCAGTCTTTGAACCCTGTGCCATAATTGCAATATATAAGAAATTATTCTGATTTTTAACATTTTTGTTTTCACATGGTACTCCCAATTACAGGATTCCCCTAAAGAAATGACTGTTCCACTCCCAATGGTTACTCTGTTGAACTGTGAAAAAAATTCACCTGCAAAACTGAAGTTAGTGAAAGAAGTTATGCTTATACCACCAGTTCAGTTACCACTCAAACAGGTACTGTTTCATTTTTGTTTTTATAAATGTATTCTGTGGACTTCATATGAACTATATATGTACATAAGTATATAGAACTTTTCAATATAGTCCTTGCAAACTGTGGTTTTCATTTTTTGTTTGCTTGCAAGGCCAAAGTTTTACCAGATGTTTGTGCAGAATTCTAACACCAGGTACATTAAAAGAAGTAAATAATGAAGGTTTAAAAGAAGATACATGAAGATTTCAAGTTAAAAATTTATGTGCTAGTATAGAGGAAAAAATCAGTGCATTGAGAAGATGCAGGGGAATTATGTTACACAGCAATAAGAGATTTTAATTTTGTTTAGAATGTGATTTTACATTAGTAGATTACAAATAGTATCAGTTGATAGTGCATACAAAACAACAAAGCTCATAACAAATTCACAGGGAAGCATAAAATCTTTGGGAATAAACTGCTTTAAAAATTAATTTGTGAAGATAGAAGGGAATACAAAGCAGAATAAAAGCTATTCAAAGGTCAAGAAGGATGGATGAGAGAGACTGGATCAGCCCTCTCTTTTTGTTTAGCCATGTGTTGCATTAAAGAATGGATCTGCACAAGATGCCTACATTAAGGCTGTGATTTTTACTTTGTATGCTGGTGACCTGAACAAATACCTGAGCTTAATTCTCTTTCTTTTTCCTTTTCCTTTAACTTTTCAGAATTGTCACAAGAGCTCTTAATAAGATTGCTAATTCTGTACCTTTCAAAGTCACAGTGCTTCCTAGTGCGTATGGGAGTGCAGCAAACTGCTTGCTGCAGTGCAAAAAATATAGCCATTCGTCCTGTGTTGGTGTGTTGTCAGCTGTGACTGACTTCTGCCCCCTTCAGTATTCCTTTACTGGCACAGTTTAACAAAATCTGAATTGTGATTTGCAAAGTTAGCATTAAACTTGTACTAGCTCAGCTGAAAAGGAAAAAGACTTTTGTGTTAAAAGCAATGGATTCATTTCATTGGATTGTTCCTTCATTCCCCAATGTTTAAAACGAAGACAGTGATTTTTTCCCTGCTTCCTGGAAATGTTCTAAAGGTAAACACATTCAATTTTGTCAGAGGCAGTCATAGATAGAGTCACAATTGTGAACAGTGTTTATCATTTTCTCACTTCTCAGATACTCTGTAGACCAGATATTGCTTGCTTGTTAGATTTGGGAAGGGTTCCTTTCGGGGAAGAAGAGACTGCTTTTCCTGCCATCCCATTCAGCAGCATAATCAAATATTCCTGTTCATTCCACTGCTGCTAACCCTTTATCACTGGACACCTGACTGCATTTTGTGGGTGGGGGATTGCGTTAAGGAAGTCTGTAACAGGTTTTTTTAAAGACTTTATATTAAGATCTGCATTTAGCATAAGTGTTCTTTCTCTTCTGATTTAAGCTGCTAAAATAAAATGATTTATCTTTCTTCTGAAGATTACTGTTGTTTAATTTCAGGGCATAGGAAGAGTTCTGGACATTCAGAAAGAAATGATGAGGCTGTTGGAGCCTCCAGGCAAAGCGGTACAATAAAAATGTGTAATGCTAATGTGATGTACTTCATTTGGTCTTTCTGCTACTATTGTCTTTATAAGCTTAAACATGGAAGATTTAGCCTGTTACCAGCTTTAGCCTTATGGCACAGAATAGAAGATGTGTTTCTCTGGCAGATGAATAAAACATTGGCCATTTGGTGGTATTAAATTAACAAAGATAGGCTAAAACCTTGTTCTAAGCATAGTAAGACTTCCTGTTTACCTGAAGAAGTATACTGGGAGTGAATGGTGTCACAGTGAACATGCAGTACATGGTTCTGATCTTGCCAAGTCTCACGCACACGCAACATGTATTGCTCAAGGTACTATTCCTGTAGTAGTAAATCAGTCTCAGTATGTGCATATGCTTTTTGCAGAGCGGGGTTGTTGGGTTTCTCCAAGTAGAGAGTCTAGATCCTCATTTCTGAGAAGCCCTGTGGTTTTGGTAGGCTAGCGGAGAATCTTTGGAAAAACAAATGGTGGTTGGGGTGATGCCCACATAGAAATAAACGTTTGAAATGAGTTACCACCAGAAAATAAAGCTGGGTAGTTGCTGGTAGTATTCAAGACAAAACAGAAGCTATTTCCTTTTCAATCTCTTTAGACCAAAATTCAGTCAACTGTTGTTTTTTTTTTTTTAATTCTGAGGTGTCTGTGTCATATTTGGACTTTTCCATTGAATTGATGTATTTCTTCTTTCACTCCCAACAGCCCAGTAGTCCTCAACTAGCAGACAGTAAGAAAGGCAGAGCGCATAATACAGGGAAAAAAGCTCTGGTAAGAAAAGGGATTTTCATTTTAAGCCTTCAGCAAGGTATTAACTACAGCAGGGAACCAAAATGTTCTTAAGAAATGAAACGTTAATCTATATTACCGTTTTGGAAAGGTCAAGGCCAGACTTTTAAGTATTCCAAATGCTCATATTTTACATAATAATTTGGATTCTTCTGACTATACTTTCCCTTCCTGTGGAACAATACCAGAAAGGGGAAATTCTTCTGGAATCTGGTCATTTTTCTCATACAGAAATCCTGGTAAATTACCCAAATGAGCATTTTGTAGCCCTGGAGCACCAGCAGAGAACATGCCCTTTTGATCACATAGGCCATAAAACTATTACCTGTAAGACTTGCATATTGTACTGTTTCCTGACTCTGGGAGCATCACTCCCCTCTTTACCATGCTGCATTAAGTTCCCAGTTCCTGTTTGAGGTAGTAGATAATGGCAGATACAAACCAGTAGCTAAAGGGCAGCACTCACAATAGTGCACAGGGCAGTATTTTATATGACTCAAATGATCTTTTTTTATCACTTCAAAACCTGTAGTTTATAGGTGAGTTTTCCAAATAGTGGGATGGAAATGCCATGCCAGTTTTGCTCTCCATTCTGAGATGATTAAGATATTATCAGGTGAGAGTTGCTGCTGTTGTGGAGTATACAAAAGAGAGGATGAATGAAAGTTTTCCTGGGTTTTTGTTGCTTAAACACCACAAAATTCATCATCATTAAGCACCTGACCAATGGTTTTCTGGTGGGTAATTTCCATATTCTTATCACAGTATGTACTGCAGTCGTAAGTCAAAATAATCTCTTAAAATATGCACAAGGCAACAGTGCATTTGAGTCTCTGAAAAAATTCCATCTATTTCAAAAGGAGAAAACTAAAGGAGATCGTAGCGAGACTGAATTTTAAACTGATAAAAGCACTCTGTTAGTTTGAACTTTTGGGGAGGGAAAAATCGCAAAGTAGGCAGTGAAGAAGAACTTGTTTGGTTTATAGAAGTAAAGACTAGACAGGAAAAGTGTTTTTGTGAAGATAAACAATGCTTTTACTAGAGTGCAACAAGGCGCAACATACGGGTGCCTTGAAAATCACATGAGAATGCAGACTTCACCTCTGTCTCACGTTAAACGCAAGAAGACTGCAGAATCTCTTGCTGTCTCTTGCTGCAGCTTAGTGCTCCAAAAGCGACAAGTTAAATAGATTGTCTCTCCTTGCAGATTGCTACAAAATATTCTCATAATAATGTGACCTGCATTCTCTTCCTAATTTTCTATGTGAAGGAACATTCATGTATCTTCTGTATCGAGGGCTCTGTTCTGTCTGCTGCGGTTAGTCCTCTAACACCTTCCAACTGACTTCTCCAGCCTAACCCAGGATTATATCCTGCTGCTTCCTGGGCAACTTAGTGTCATTCTTTATAATGCAAAATTCACAGATTTTAAAGTCAAAAATCAGTATTTGAGAAACGTACAAAAAACCTGACAACAGAAGGACATGTGAAATCTTTGCTCAATACAACTCTGCTTGCGGCTTGTGCCCAGGACAACTATTTCTGAGGCAGGCAACTCCATGCAGCTGTGCCAGAGATATTTCCCCTCTATGAAATTTGGTCCTTCTAGAAGTCTTGGAAGATTCTGGTGTTTCCAGACCACTCCATAGAAGCAATATCAAACTTGTAGTTGGGGATAAATGAGTAAAAGCTGTTTAAAAGCAGAGAATATGTCTTTGTGGCAAAGGGATGGTCCACAGCACTGGGAGCTTTTACATGGCATCCATGACAACTCAGTGATTGTTAGGAGTGCCTTCAAAATCTTTTTCTAAACCAGTACTGGCCATATAAGAGTGAGAACTACATGACTAGACAAATTCGAAACACTCTTAGCTCTCTATTCATTAGCACTTGATAACCCCTCATTCGTAGAGAATTGTCCTTAAAGTTGCCAATGCGATTGCTGAGAACAGATTTATATTTTGATGACTGAATGCAGACTGCAATGACAGTGAAAATACATATAGAAGTACTATATATATGCATGTGAGTAAATAAAGTGATTATTTCTGTTCTACTTTCAGCCACGAGCCTTAAAAAGAATATCACACTTAGGTTGCCTGATAACGGGATGCGATAATCTGGAACAACCACTACTCCTAATGCAAACAGCTTGCAACAATATAGGTCTGGAGCTAGGGACAGACATGTTCGTAGCAATAAATTGTGCTGCTCATGAATTAATGGATTACGTAAGTTATTTTCAATATCTGTTTTGTTGCTTTTTAAAAGGAATGTAGCTATTTGTTAACATTATTTATTATTATGTTGCATACTCACCTAGAAGCTTTTAACTCCCATCTTTTAAGGTAGCAATCAAGCAAACCAAAAGAATTGTCTCTGCTTTGCTAAATTGTGGTTGAATCAGTCCTGCAAGTGTAGCAGGTATGTTACTGGATTGTGAGTGCAAGGGGACGAGAGATGCAGACCTCCTTCTGGTAGCTTGATGCAGCGGGAGCGGTGAGAATGCAGGTATCCCTCCTCCCCAGCTGTACCGGCATACTGGTGGGGCACCTTGCATGGGATCAGGCTCACTGGACCAAGGCAGACCCCCAGGACAGGTCGTGCCCTGCCTGCAGGAATCTCTGTGCCTTCCACGATTTAACTTTAGCCATTCAAATGGTGTAAGCCTGCCTGCATCAGCCGGGTTTACTCCTGCTCTCTGTTTCTTTATTTAATAAGATTTTACAGATCAGCCTGTGTCAAATACAGCCAACTGTTGGAATGGGCAAACACCTACCACACGCTCTATTTAACAAACCAGCTTCATTTCACAGCACAGCTCAGACGATGTTGAATTAAAGTCTTAAATGGTAAATCCTGTTTTGGTGGGGTTTTTTTCATTTCATTTCATTTTCATTATAAGTGAAATAATTATCTTCTATCCACCCTGCTTTCAAGGATGAAGAACGAGAAGTTACTTACACAAGTATGCTTCTGTGGTTCCTTCGCACCACTAGATGCTTATTTCTCCGTTTTGTTACGCTGCATCTGTTGTTTTCTGCAACCTACCTTGAACTTTCTGTGTGTTTTTACTCCGGTATGGCTGTATACCCACTGACATTCATCTCATTGTGTATCAACATTCATTTTTGAATTCTTATCTTTCAATATTTTTATTTAACAAAGTTTATTTATCTCCAGCTGAAGTCTTGCCTCCTGTTCCAAGATCAATCAGGTTTCTCTCTAAGCAGAAACAGAAACTTCCTATTCCATTTAATATCTCATGAGATGTTGTGTGTTTGGGTTTACCACAGTGACAAACCTTCCATTACTAATCTCTTTTGTGAAAGCAGTTGCTTTCCTGACAGTCTGGGATATCTGTATCCTATGTCAGAACGAGCAAAATCTTAACCAGTGAATTATCGGTAATTCTGTAACTTTCTGTTACTGACCTGCTAAAGTCACTAAAGCAGCGGGTATTCTGGTGCAGTTTGACACTGTGCCCTTAATAATCCTGGTACGCTGCAGTCTGTGCTTTCCAGAACGATGAGACTAGTTTTAAACTAGTCTTTTTTTTTTTTTTTTTTTTTTTTTTTTTAAAGGGGAAATAGGCAGGGAAAGGCAGTGTCTTGGTTTTGAGCACTGAGGGTGCACTCCTTTCCCCCAGCAATATTTTCTTTATGAAAATGAGGACAAAAATTTAACGTTTTGGAAGTGAAAAGTGAGATTTTTCATGCAAGATTCAATAAAGATGTCAGATACTGCTAACTTTATCATAAAGTAGTGCAAAACTGGAGTGTTGCCTAGAAAAGGCTAAAATAGATCTCCCTTGTTTTGAGAGTGGCACTGTCAGAGGCTTTGGCGTGAGCCCGCTGGCACCCGCTGTGTCTTCAGGCAGAGCTTTCCGCTGAGCACGTAGGCACGGGGTGAAGCAGGCAGTGACTGTGTGCGCGGTGAAGAACACACCAGCCACTGCCGTACTAGGGACACCCGTGTCACAGCTCTGTCTGCTTCCAGTTGTACTCCGGGGTGTAAAGTACGACCTTCCTGACCTGCTGCGCTTTTACTTTCCAGGTTAAAGGAAAATACGAAATACTCACTGGAACATTCAAAAGTCCTGATGAAATGGTTGATATGTACGTGGAACTGATCAGTAAATTTCCCTTTATTACTGCATTGATAGACCCCTTAAGAAAAGAGGTAAGACACGGCAGCGCAGTCCTTGGAAAACTGGTGATACCGTTAAGTGTCACTGAACTTTTCCCATTTTTACAACACATATAAAATGCGACACTGATTTCAGAGTCTTTAGGCACAAAAATATCACTGTAAAAATGTATTTAACAATTCATTTGCATATCGGTAATTGACATTAACTCTAATTTTTTCTATACTTTTGACAAAAGTCCTGTCAGAAAATAATCCTGGCACAAACAGAATACAGTCAGTACAAATATTTTAAAGAATTACAAGAAAATGCTTTTTTTTCTGATTCTACTTGCTAAACCACCGTCGTTTTTATTACATTTTCCTTCTTATGTAAACAAAGAATTCAAATTATAAAACCAAATTATAAAATTCAAGTGATATATAAATTATTTATATTACATTACATTATACTATATTGCATTATATTACATTATATTATATTTATTATATGGCAGAAGCTAAAATTTGGACATAGCTGTATATTCCTTGAAATCACTTAAAAAAAATGATTGCTGTAGTTCTTTATGACGGAGATTTATACCCAAAGCCAGAACAAACCCGTCACTGGCAGCGTTGCTCGGCAGGATTTTTAAGGAGGTAGTAAGATACCATGTATTTACCACTGTGATCAAAGTTAGAGGAGTTGATTTAGTGTGGCCAACAGATTACACCAAAAAGTAGAATATTATTAAGCATGTTATTAAGTTACAGATGGGTGAAAGAAACAGATTGCATAACCTTAAATATTAGCTTTTATACATAAGATTAAGTTTCCATGTATTACACAAAAGCTAAAAACTGAATTGTTGTAGAACCTACAATTGCAGACCTGTATTCTGCAGCTCCACAGCTTAATAAAAATTTGCTCTTGCTGTCGAATTGTGCGCTTACTCTTCTCTTGAAGTAAATATACGGGGTTTGTTTTCATGAACAAAACGTGAAGACTGTGATTGACAGGGGAAGCAAAGTGATGCTGTCTGCGTGAATCTGCCCGGTGCCTGAATCAGTAATTCTAAAACAGATAAACTGCAAAATACATGTGATTTTGTCCTTAACTGGAACTTTAAAAGTTCATTTTTCAAATAGCTGTGTTATTGCTCCCTCACCCTAGTTAGCCTTGCGTCCCTGCACAGTTTCAGTCGGACTCTCTGAGTTACCAATGTTCCAAAACACCAGCTTAGTCCCCACACCTGCCCGGGCTGCAGCCTTCCTTGAGAATTCCGACGAGGGAACATATTTGCAATATGAAAATCTGCAGGAGAATTACAACAGACAGTGAAGTACAGTGTGCAATAGAATCCTGCAAAGGGAAACGCCTCTCCTCCTCCTCCTCCTCCTCCTCCTC